TTGGAACCAGAAGAGACCTAAAATAACAAAAGCAATTCTGGGCAACAAAGGCAAGGCCGGGGGCATCACAATCCCAGACTTGAAATTGTATTATAAAACTACAGTGATAAAAACAGCATGGCACTGGAAAAAAACTCAGATCCGAGAATCAGTGGAATAGACCAAAAGATGCAGAAACAACTCCAAATACACACAGCCACCTTATCTTTGACAAAGGAGCCAGACACCTTCACTGGAAGAAAGATAGCTTTTTTAATAAATGCTGCTAGAAAAATTGGCTTTCCGAGTGCAAAGACTAAAACTAGACCCATATGTCTCACTGTGCACTAAACTAAAATCAAAATGGACCAAAGATCTAAATTTTAAAATAGAAACACTAAATCTGCTGGAAGATAGAATAAGTAGAGTTCTTGAAGACACTGGTATAGGCAAAGACTTTATGAACAAAATTCCCGTAACACTAGAAATATCACGAAGAATCAACAATTGGGATCTCACTTTATGAAAAACTTTTTTGCATAGCAAAAGAAACCACCAATAGAGTGAAGAGACAACCCACAATGTGGGGAAAATTTTTTTCCAGCTGTTCATCAGATAAAGGACTAATATCTAGAAGACACAAAGAACTCAAATAAAATCAGAATCCCCAAATTTGAAGATCCAATTCAAAACTGGCTTCTGAAATGAATAGATACTTCTCAGATGAAGAAACATAAACACAAATAAATATATGAAAAAATATTCAGTATCACCAGTCATTTAAGAGATGCAAATTAAAACAACGCTGAGATTCTATCACATGCTACAAATAGTGGCTATTATCAAGAAACCAACCAATAACAAATGCTGGCAGGGCTGTGGGGAGAAAGGAACCCTTCTACACTTTTGGTGTTGCAGACTGGTGCAACCACTATAAAAATCAGTGTGGAGATTCCTCAAAAAACTAAAATTAGAGGTTCTATTTGACCCATGTATTCTCCTTCTTGGTATCTTCCCACAAGAATTAAAAGCATCATACTGTAGTGATATGTGCACAGCCATGTTTATAGCAGCACAATTTGTAATAGCTAAATCTTGGAAATAGCCCTCATACCCACTAATAGATTAAGGAATAAAAAAGGATGTGGCTTTTTAAAAATACAATGGAGTGTTGCTCAGCCATATAAAGGACAAATATGGTCATTTATAGTTAAGTGGACTCACCTTGAGACCTTACTCTTAAGTGAAATCAATTGGACACACATATTCAAATACGACATGGTTTCTCTGATGTGAGAAACCAGAAGTGTAAATAAAAACTAAAATGTATAATAGATATTGCAAAAAGGGAAGAAAATGTTGAAGTGGAAAGGTGAAATAGTGAGGGGAGAGGGGGAAAAGAAGGCAGGGAAACAGAAAAAAGGAAATAAAAGGAAAAATGGAAAAAAAGCTTCTGTAAATAGGAGAGGAAGAGGGATTGTAGGGGTAAGGCTAAAAAAGAAGAATTAAGATATATCATGTGTGTGTACAAACTCTCTATGATGAATGTTATGTGTGCCTAAAATGCACCAACAAAATTAATTTAAAAACAGAGAAAACCGCAACTTCAGGGCACGATCAAAGTTACTCAATGTTACAGTGCCTTTTCCCATTTAGGAAACTAACTCCACAAAACTTCTAAGGATTTTAAAGACTGGGGCATGCTTTTCATCTGTAAATTGAACCTCTCTCTTTTTCCTCCAATATTGATTCACAAGTTCCACAGACTTTTCCCCTCAAAGAAACAGCACTGTCACGTGGGTGGCATACCTATAAACTTCAAACACATGCAAATGGTTTGCATTCTAACGCAGCCCACTGAAGGGATGACCTGACAGGCACCAGGAATGTTGAACATCCGCAGGAACACATAAAACCCCCGTGGGGACCACAGTGCCCCTCGCCCATACTTTCTCTCTGTGTGTACATCTTTAAATCTGCTTAAGAAACTTCTTTATGCTTCTCACTGAGACATTCTGCAAGTCTCTTCTATGATGTAGATCAGCAGACCCACAATCTACACTGTGGGTGGGATGAGTTGAGGCTGGGGGAGACCTCGTGGGTCCCTGACCCGTGAAGAAACCTCTGTAATGCTGGGTAGGAAACTTGTCCTGATGGCCAAGTACTACAGACCTAGGGGAGCTGTAAGATGCTTGCGGATCTACTGGAGAACACTTCTCCTGGCTGATAGAGATGGGGTTAGACTTAGTTAATGACATTTTCATCTGGTCACGTTAGGCATAGGCATTTTTTCTCTTCCCAAGATCATTATTGAAGCTATATGCAAGGAAAAACTGCCAAGAGATTTTCTTTTTGGAGAAGCCCTTTCTCACAGGGGAATCTGACAAATAATATAGCACTTTCAGATTAATTTATTGTGAGAGTAAATATTTCAATTCCTATTGCTTGCCCCCTCCTAATTGCTACCTGTTAGTTTGATTACAAACGATGAAGATGTGTGAGATGCAAAAAAGCTTACAAATATAAAATTCTCCTTCTAGAAAAGGAATGAAAGCATGAACTTATGAAATAAAGAGTAGAGCAAACTATATTTTTTTCACAGCTGACCACAAGAAGCAAAAAATTACCATTTTTTTTTCGAATGTATGAAAAGCAATAGACATTATGTAACAGTTTTACTTGACAGTGATCCATAGCCATTAGCTACTCTAAATTATTTGTCTATGTCATTTCATGGTATTTCCCTGACAATTCACGCAACATTTTGAACAATGAGCAAACCTTTTCCTGAATGACCCTGCTAATAGAGAAAGGAATCTGGGCTTCAGATCAAACCAATGGCCCAGGTCACCTTGTGAAGTGGGTTGGAAGAGGAGAAAGCAGAGAGTATGAACTTTGCCTTTAATTATGCTTATATTGCTTGAATTCTCACATCAGCATAAATTTTTTTTGTAATTAAAGTAAAATCCAGTAAAGTTTAAGCCAGGAAAATATAAAAATTAATATATATTAAAATTATTACATTATTTTCTACCTAGTTATATGACAGGTAATTTATGAAATAAGAAAAAATTTTAAGTGATGCCCTGGGAAAATATTTAAACACACAAAGATTTTAGGAAATAAATAGTACAAGTAAATGTTATGTCTAAACTACCAGGGTTTGTATTAGATATTTGCTTTGTCTTTTCCTAAATTTCCTCATGACAGAAGAATGATCTCTTTAATTTCAAACACTAATGATCCCTTTTCCTGTTTCTTATTGTACCTTGAAAATCTCACTAATAAGCAAATCACGATGTCACTCTTCAAACGTGTGCTAAATCTACTTATCTTCTTAATAACCACAAAATTATTTTGCCCATCCTTTGTAGGCATGAGCCATACACCCACAGCATCACTACAGCAGAGCTAAAAGCTGAACAGCTGTTGAAATGCCTGAGATAAGAAAGGCTGTAAAAGCTTGTTTACTCTCCTGTGATTTATATTCAATTTATGATGGTTATTATAGCAGATACACTTCACTTAATCAAGAGCTCGGTCAAGGCCTACTCATCAAACACATTCGTCCTTTCTTCCCCAGGAGAGCAGGTCCCTTGTTTCATTAAAAGCACTGAAAATACAAATTCAAAATGCAAAGATGAAAGAAGTCAGCAGGGGCAATTAATTTTATGGCTGGTGCTATAAGAGTGTAAATCTCCTTTATAGCCACCATGATTTAGTTCATTTTACCTGTTCAGGCTTTCGGTAGAGCAGGAACACAGGCCTTAAGTGTTAACCTATCAGCTTACGGTAGACAAACCTGGTCAGTAACCCTACTTCCTTAAAAAACAGCCAGAACAGAAAACAGAATTAACTGTGGGATAGTAATAGGAAGAGTTTTAAAACTGCAACACAAGATTGTCCAGGAAATTTAATCGCATAAAATTTCCTGCCCATCTGTGTGGTTTGCTATTCTGTTAGTCTAACAATCACGAAATAAACAAGAAGGTGATGTACAGATATAAGGCTTTCTCTATTTCAAATATCTTATAAATTTTAACATTACCAACAAATGAGCTGATCACAGAAAAGACAACAGTGGAGTATGGAAACAAAGAATAATTCCTATTTTCCAGAAATCCTTTCCTGCCCCAACTCAAAAACATCAGACATTATAGGAAAATAGAAGGTGCTTTCCCAGATTCCAGCAAATTCATTCTCATGGAAATGCGACCTGGTAGAATGCATACACATTCCATATGACTCTTACATTTCCACTGACCTCTGTCAGGGCAGAAATTCAAGGTCTGTTATGCTATGATAGAGCCTTTCCAGTTAATGGGTTTTTGTCTCTCTCTCTGACACTGTAATGTCTCCATTCATAACAACTGTGTGGTGCCAATGGAAACAGTCCACATCCAATGAGACTGCCCAAATTCAAGGTTTGTCCTTCTAATAAAATACTGGAAATCAAATATGAAGGTGGTCTATGCAGCTTCCTGGAATTCCAAAGTCAAGCAGGTTGTGTTGTTGAAGGGCACTGTTCTTCCTGACGGGCCCGAATGTCTGATTTCACTCCCCTTGCCAGGAACTGCGCACTGAATTAACACTCTCTTTATTGCATCCTCTTATCTATCTCAGATCTCCTTACTGATCACTATATTTAAAATATTTGGCAATGCTCTAACAGAAGGCTTAAAGTCACCCTCCCCTTTTCCATCTATTCTGGGGAGTGGCTGCATCTTTGGCCACATGTTGGAAGGCCATGCCACCCAGGGATATTTTCACAGCCCTAATAGCTTACAGATTTTAGCAAAGGGCAGGTTTCACCAAGCTTCTCACTCATTTTCTTCATTTTTAGGTATCTTTTATATTGTTAAAGGGCCCCAGTTAGCAGCAGGGTCACATCACTCAGGGACAGCCTGCCAAAGAAGAGACGACTTGCCACAAAGTTGAATCCAAGCAAAACTTTTTTCTAACTAGAGAGGAAATTAAGCAGGAATATAGAAAGTATTAAAAAACCATGCAGAAACACTCACAGTTTTGGTTTGGCAAGCAGAGGCGGTGGCTCCTTAGTAGGCGAAAGCAGGACAGCTGGTGTTGGCAGAGATTTATTACCGTTAGTTTTGCCGTTGATCAGTCCATTTACTCCATGACTGGGATGGACTCCATTCGTTTCTCTCTCAGCAGAATTGAATTGCATGTGAAGGGCTGCCATGCTGAGGCCGAAATCAGGTCTGTTCCCCTGCTGGGTCTCAGATGGTTTCTTGGAAGCCAACTCAAAGGAATTTGTCTCCAAGATTGGAGGGGGAGGTGGAAAGTGATCCTTGTTGGAGTTTCCCATTGTATTGTGACTGCAGCTCTCTGTGTTGGTTAAGGGAGGGGAAAGAGAGGAAAGAAATAATAAGATGCTACTAGTTCAACAATTAAATTTCACGCTGTCATAGTTCTAAGGATCCCTGTGTCCTGTTAGAGAAGAGGTAGTGTGCTGCTCTCACTGGACACAGAAACACTGCCAACTGGAGGCCCAGCTCTTGTGAGCGGCTGCTACTTGTCTCACTTCTGGACTGAGCTCACGGATGGGGAAACCACCTAGCAATGGATTCATCAGCGAATTTTAAAGGATAGCTAAAGATAGAACTCAGTAAAAAAATAGCATCAGACAGTATCAACCAATAGTGTATTGTCCTTTCACTTTTTCGCCCATGGATCCAATGGAACATCCTATCTGTTTATAAGCAGTGGCTCAAACTATAAAGGTTTTATATGGATTTTCTCTGGTTTAGAGCTAAGGAAGTAAAGACAAGAGGTAAAGCAAAATGTCTCATGATCTTATAGAAAAATGTTTTTCCACGTCAAATGATTGCCACAACTACAGGCTCAGTATGAGAGTTTTTTTGTTTTCAGCTTGTTACCCTCAACAGTATGAAATTCAGAATCCAAGTGTGCTGTCTGAGCACGGCAACGGTGACCATTGGATAGGAGAGTCTTTACAGCAACTCAGAATCAAAATGCTGGAATATTTCCTGCTAAGTATCTCCGATTATGATTCTGGGGTTTCCTTTGACCACTGAAACTGCTCATTCCTTTCATCACTTCTTCATGCAGATGAACTTTGAATTTCTATTCTTAATTAAAATGAAAAAGCATTTGCAATTTGGTCTCATAACATTCCCAAACTAGTTTTGTTTGTGCCTCTGCTGCCACCTAGCCCCAAGATCTTCCTCTTCTAGGAATCAAAGGGAGATTCAATTGTTCTTTCAAAGTCTGTCTTATTCAACTAGAGACTCACTTATTACTTAAGTGTGAATTACTACTTAGGCGTCAGACCTGGTAAAAGAGATATTTAAAAAGTCTTTGTATGATTACTAACAGAGATGAGGAAATCAGCATAAGGTAAAGTAAAGCGCAATAGTAATACTCAAAAATACAGTTTGCAAAAAAAGAATAATAGTATGATGCTTTATCAACAGATGGTGTTACCCTCATATGGGGGTCCCTAGAGAATGCTGTATATGGCAGAAGAGCTACTACACTGTGGCCCTTAGAGAAGAGATTGAAAATGCATGTGCAGCAATCTCAATGGCCAAGGTTACCCAAGCAGCAGTTAGCCATACAAATAAATGTCTGGAAGCTAATGGCCACTATCTTAAGCACCTCTTGTAATTGTAGAGACCAAAGGTAACGTGTATTAATCTCATGATATCCCAATGAATTCAGTGTTAAAATATTTTTACAAGTTTTTCTTTTCCTGAAGTTGTATACATTTTTTGGGGGGCAAACTCTGCAGTCGCTAAATGGATTAATTAATTTTTAAAAAGCTGTTTTATATTTCCCTCTGTGGTGGTAAGTTTTTGAATTTAAAAATGGCCATATATTTTAAAATATTGGTTTCAATATTAGAATATATTGTTTTATTTTTTATATCAAAGTTATTTACTGTCACGAGCTATATCATCAATGAAATTTGATTTTTAAGGTCTGTACAGCTCTTCTGAATTACACCACATTTGTCTTGCATTACCTTTTCAGAAGCTTCTTAAGAGGATTAGACAATGATGTACTTGTAAAAGTATCTCCAGATCTCACATGTTTACACGGCTGAGAACAGAGCTGCACCTCTGATTTAGAGGTGACCTTCTGCGGTGATTATGATTCTAGGTTACCATGAAATGTTTGGAAACTAGCTCCATTGTCTTCAAGACAGAGATGGAATGATTTTAAAAAACAGCTCCAGACTCCTCAGTCGTTGCAGTGTTGTTACCCTTTTGTACTCCAGCCTCACCCCGCTGCTCCCCTCCCCCCACAGCCTTCTGTTTCCTGATGAAATGGTTGATTGTTCTGGAATCTCCTGGAGTGACAGCCAGCATTCCTAATGGGTGACACTCTACCTGGGACAGTTGCTTTCCGCTTGTGGCAAAGCACATTAGAGCAGGGAACAGAACCCAGTCAGTTTTGACTTCTCACGTACCTGGGGTGACAACCAGCTGGGCAGTGCTGGTCACTGATCCAAAATCATTTCTTGCTGAACAGGTAAAGACCCCTGCATCTTCAGGGAAAGTCTCAGCGATAACCAGGGTACAAATCTCCTCTAGAAATGAATTTATCAGAGTGAAATAAACCATCAATTCACCTTGAAGCAGTCAGACCCTCTTTCCCAACCTCCTTTCCAACATCCTCCCATTAGCAAACTTTCCAGGCCTGTAGAATAGTGCTTTCTCTCTCAATTTGACCATCCATGGGACCTAACTGGTCCCAAAACACAATGTATCTATCAAACACTGCAGAAAAGAATTAATGACTATGGTTACAAGTGCTATCATATAATAAAAAACATTTTTGTCTATTAAGATCTTTAAATATTTTGATTTTTTATAATATGTATCAAAGCAAATAAATTAAACAATAAAGTATAAGATGAAAAGTAAAAGCCTTCCTTTATAACTCAATCCCCTCTATATTTAAAACCCCTAATGTCATTCCCCAAAGGCAAACATAATTAAATAGAGCACTGTAATTTTTAAAAATTAATGTATCTATCCAAATTGCATCCAAATATTATCAAAGTATACAGTTTTTGATGCTGCATTATAGGGTCAGATATATATGGTTTTTGTATTAGCAAGAACTATGACCTCTAGGCATCCTGAGTATTATTATATTTCTCAATCCTTCTTATGTTTCATCCTACCAGTAAACTTTACTCCTTCTTTGTTCCTGATGATGCTCATAGATATCTGGTTAAGGGACTACTTGAGATTTTGCTAAAAATTAAAAATGTGGCTTTTATGTCAAAACATTACATCCCGATGGAAAGACATGATCTTGTTTTTGAAATTTTTAACAATGATATTGCTCAATAGAAACTTGTTTATATGATACAGTAGTGCAGGTTCAAGAGTTTTGAAAAATCACATTTTTTTCAGCATATTCTTCAGTTTGATGTTTAAATGTGGTATGAGAAACTAGGACAAATGTAGAACACCAATAAAAATAAACAATAGCTTAAACTGAGATTATTCAAACAGTAATGGACAAATGACAGAAAAAAGAGAAAGCAAGATTTTACCTTTTTTGAGTTAAGTTAAAGGGATAGTTTTTTCATTTATTAATTTTGATTGAGATAGAAAATTAGGAAACTCTAAGACAGAGCTGAAGAGACAGTAAAGGCAGATTCCCTACATACTTCAGTAGTGGAAAGTAAATGAATGGAGATTAAAGGATATTTAGGCTTCTGCTTTTGTTTTAGTTATTGTTCTCATATGATTTTTTTATTAGTACATTTCTACAATATATAACAATATATTTACCTTGGAAATTTGTGCATGTATCACATCTTAATCATTTTTAAACAAAGATTCTACTTATAAGGTATCCAGTCATTTTCTTAGCAGCAGACAGGCTGCAGGGGGTGGGCATGGGGAGCTGCTGGGCGGAAGGGATAGAGTTGCAGACATTCAAGATGAAAATATTCTAGAGATCTGTACGTTGTTGACAACAGTTGACAATAGTGTACTGCACAGAAATTTAAGAAGATAGATACATTATATATTTTTACTAGCATAAAGAAAAAGGTAGTAAAATATATTAAATACATTTAAGTGCTAATTTAGATAAAACACTGAACTATAAATGTGAAGAGGTTAATGTAAGATAGATTTTTATTTTTTGTACTGATGATTGAAGCTGGGCCTCACAAGCAGGCAAGTACTCTACTATACTGCCCCGCAACATTTTTCACCAATTTTAAAATTTATTTGGAGACAGGTACTTTCTAGAAACATTCATAGCTAAATGGATGCACATAGAGGCTATACTCTTACGTGGAATAAATAGGACACACTTCAGTAAATATCAAATAGTTTCTCTGGTATGAAAAACTTAAAGTATAAATACGGTTCAATTGGTTCAAAGTATAAATAAAGTATAATTGGAAGTGTGAAATAGGAAGAAAATGGCTAAAGGGAAAGCAGAAAGGGAGGGAAAAAAATAAGGGAAGAGAAAGATGTGAAAAAATGTAAAAATGGAAGCAAAGTCTTTGTAAATAGGGAAGGGTAAAGGGAGGGCAGGGGAATGGGGAAAAAACAAGAACCAAGACATATCATGTAAAGGTATAGGTCCCAATGATAAATGTAACTATTGTTTGCTTTAAATGTACCAATAAACAATGGAAAAAAAATAAATTGCTCAAGCTGACCTCAAACTTTCCATCTACCTCAGGCTCCCAAGTACTTAGGATTAGAGGTGTGCAACACTGTGCCCAGCTCAGGAAAGATTTTCGAGATAAAGTATGGAATTTCTTCCCAGGCACAGCTCCAAGAGCTTTTAGAATTCATCTATCTACTTGTTGAGTATTTTTAAGAGTATGCTGTCATAATATCATACAACTGCAGACATGAGAAAAATAATTTATGGTCCCCACCCTCAAGTTGTTTGTATTCTTAGAGGGGTGAGCCATGTCCTCTCATGAGAAAATCTCTAAATCTATTTCAATGCCAAAATTTGACAGCTTCAGTGTCTACATCAAGAGGAGAGTTTATTCTTCACACTTTCCCAAAAAACCACGTTCTAAAAGGCACTTAAGGTAGTTGCAAGTGAGAGTGTTCATTAGAAAGTGCTATTTTGCAAAAATTTCTTAAAATTTAAGATGCAGGTAGGATATATAATGTAGAATTAAGATTTTTAAAACATTCCTGAGGAAAATATTCTGCCAAAACACTTATAAAATTAATAACCAGGACTAGGATTTAGCTCAGTGGTGCTGCCACCTGCCTTGCAAGTGCAAGGTCCTGAGTTCAATCCCTCATACAAATAAAAAAAAAAAAAGAAAAAAAAGAAAAAAAGTAACCAAATTTAAGTAGTGTAGCAGAATACAAAATCAACACACAAAAATCAATAGTGTTATTATATACTAATAAGGAATTCACTGAGAAAGAAATTAGAAAAACAATACCATTCATAATAGCATCAAGAAAAATTAAATACTTAGGAATTAACTTAACCAAGGAAGTGGAAGACCTCTACAATGAAAGCTACAGTACTTTAAAAAAGGAGATTGAAGAAGACTGCAGAAAATGGAAATACATCCCTTGTTCCCAAATAGGCAAAACCAATATTGTCAAAATGACCATCCCTCCAAAACTGATACACAGACTTTACACAGTCCTATTCTAAATACGAACAGCAATTCTCAGAGAACTAGAAAAGACAATCCTAAAATTCGTATGGAACCAGAAGATATCAGACTACCAAAAGCAATCTTGGACAATATGAGCAAAGCATTAGGTAACAGAATCACAGACCTTGGTTATATCACAAAGCTGCAGTGATAAAAACATATGGTAATGGCACAGAAAAACAGACATGTTGATCAGTGGAACAGAATAGAGGAGGCAGAAACAAACCCAGGCACACTGAGGTATCTGATATTTGACAAAGGGGACAAACACTTTTGCTGGAGGAAAGATAGCCTCTTTAAAAAATGATGCTCGGAAAACTGGCTGTCCATATGCCAAAGATAAATCTAGACCTTTATTTGTTAAACTGAAACCAACATTGATCAAATAACTAAATGTTAAAGCAGAAATACTGGAAGATAAAATAGGTGAAATCTTTGAAGGCATGGGATTAGGCAAGGGCTTTCTGACAAGAACCTAAGATGCCCAAGAAATGGCACCAAGAGCCAACAAATGGAACCATATCCAATTAAAAAGCTTCTGTACAGCGAAGGAAGCAACTTACAGAGAAGACACACCCTACAGAATGGGAAAATTTTTTGTCAGCTATTCCTCAGATAGAGGGCGAATACTGAGACTATATATAGAACTGACAAAATTAGATCCCCCAAAATAAAAGACCCAATCAAAAAAATAGGCTACTGAAATGAATAGACATTTTTCAGAACAAGTACAAATGGCCAGTAAATATATTTAAAAAGTTCAACTTCTCTGGCCATTAGAGAAATGCAAAGTAGAACAACAGAGATTCATCTTCCCCATAAAGAATAATTATCATAACAAAAATCAAATAATAACAAATGCTGGCGAGGCTGCAAGGAAAAAGGAACTCTTCTACATGTTGGTGGGAATGTAAAACAGTACAAATACTACAGAGATTCCTCCAAAATTAAAAATAGAAATTCCATTTTACCAAGCTATCCCCATTTAAGGCATTTTCCTGACAGAGTTAGATATCATGTTACACTGACAGATGCACAACTTAGTTCATAGCAGCACAATTCATAATAGTTAAATATTTGAAGTAGCTCACATGTTCATCAATAGATGCATGGATAAAGAAAATGTGGTATTTACACAGTGGAGTACTACTGCTCTGCCACAAAGAAGGATAAACCTGAGTCATTTGTAGGAAAAGGATGTACCTCGAGACCATGTTAAGTGAAATACATGAGACATGTAAGCTTACATTTTCTGTGGTTGCTCTCTTTCTTACGGAGTCGGGGTCTTGCTATGCAGTTCAGACCAGCCTTGAACTTATCATGCAGCCGAGGCTGGCTTCCAACCTGTAATAATCTTCCTGCCTGAGCCTCTTAAGCTCTGGGACTTGTAGGTATGTTCCTCACACTTTGTTGCATGGTTTCTCTTACATGAAAAACCAAACTATAAATGAAGAGCAAACCAAAAGCAGATAATAGGAAACAAGGAGATAGATTTTCTGCAAAAGGGAAGAGGACCCAGAGATGGAGGTGCCAACTCCCCAGGAAGAATGAAATCATTATGCCAATATAAATGAAATTTAATTAAAATATTAGCTTATTTATTTCCAGTTCTTACATTATTGATAATAGTAGAAGGGGAACTTCATTTATACAAACTTTGAACTCTGGTTACATAATTTTTTCGTAGAACTTCAGTATCTGATTTGCATAAACCGTGCCTGGATTTCCACCGTGTCACACACACGGGCTGACGTGATGTAACCGGCACGAAGGCTCTCCCCGCCCTTAGCCCCTCCTTTACAATTCCTGTGGGGACTGGGAAAGGCCCCATATACAAAGTGGAAAACTATGAAGAGCAATTTACATTTAAGCTATTCTGACATTTTAAAATTTGTGACAGTATTTAGAAAGAT